ACTGTGCTGCTTTTATAAAATTTTTATTACAATACATAAAACAGCCATATAACTTTTGTCATAACAAATACATCTATTTTTACCTCATTTCCATCCCCTCTAAAGCCTTCCCTCCCAACATACTTACCCCGTCCAGTTGTTTCTTATCATCTCTTTCCCCTCCTGTTTACTGACCTGTGTCTGCAACCCTATTTGCTAAGAGCTAGTTAACCACTTTGAACAATTTGATACTCCGACTCTACTAACAGGGCACTCCTCATTTTCAGATATTTTTCAGATGTTTTAAATTCATACCACCTACTCCATTCTATTCTAAAATTTTTCCATTTTTCGTCACCATATGGCGTAGCTCCTCCATCCTATTAATATAATCAACTCTATCAGTCCAGTCCCTCATTGTGGGAGGGTCCTGAACCTGCCAAAATGTAAGGATTAAACTTTTTGCCGCACTAATCAGATGGTATAATATGCTATTTTTATATTGTTTCACATTCTTCTGAATCCCATTGATAAAACACAAAATAATTCTGGTGCCGAGTTTAGAAAAACAGCTAATCTACACAGCAACAACCAGGAGTGATCTTATTAAAGTATGTGGAAGCCTCTTCTCAGTAATGTACCACCAACAGCAGGTTTTCCTGCGACATGACCCTATGGAGGGTATTTACTAAATCTTGAGAGTACAAAATCTGGTGCAACTACCCAATTAGTTTCCAGGTTTTATTGTCAAAGCTTAATTGAACAAGCTGAAGTTAGAAGCTGGCTAGCTACCATCCATAGCCCCATCAGATTTTACAATCTCAAGTTTTAGTAAATAACCCCCACGAGCCTATGTGACATGACCCATGAGACCAAATTATTAATCAAAATAAAAAAACATTTAGGTTTTTAAGATCTGACTGGCTCAATCATTGGAAACTGCAGGAAAGTTTTGGGTGAGATCAGAGTCAAACTATTAACATATCAGCATGATAACTAGAGCTACAGTAATGTTTGTCAATGGAACAATCAATTGGACTTTGAAACTTGGCAAATCTTCAATTAGTATTTAATTGGTTTTCTTATCATTGCATTCTTCTATTTATTGATTATAACTTATGTTCCTTATAATTCAGAAAAGGCTTTTGCAATGTCGAAAGTAAATAGAGGTCTGATTTTCTCACTCATATTTTGAAGGAATTAATGCAGGAGGGCTTCTTCAAAATACTGAGGTTGAGAAATATCTGCACTACAAGGGGTCAGAGGGTCTTCAGCTGGATCAGTAGCTCTCAGTGGCAGCAGTTTAGCACATGTGTCTCTTCATGCAGAGGGTCACAGAGCTGGATAAGGTAAGCATGATCCACAAGGGGTTACTTTAGCATAAGGGATTAGTTTATGGGTTAGGTTAGTGTTAAAAACTAAGCTAAGCCCCATAGCTTTAGATCCTAACAACTTCCTGCCTGTAGGATGTCATATGATGTCCTAGACCAGAAGTGGAGATATCTGGATGATGCCTGCAGCTACAGGCATCATCCAGATATCTTTCTTTTCAGTCTGCAATTCCCTATTGTGTCAACGCCATCTTATTGGCTGATTAGCCGCTGGATGGCTTTTGTAGGCAATGGGAGGAAACGTTCCCCCCCCCCCCAGCACTGTCAACTGGTGCCTCTCCAGGCTCTCCCATGTGATTGGGGAGCCTGGAATTCGATCTAGCGGCGAAGGGGGGTTACCACAGAGCTGGCCAAGAACCAGACAGTGTTCGCACCACACATGTGAGGTTTTGCCGCAAATGTTATAGTAGAAACGATAATTCTAGCGCTATACCCAGGGGCGGACTGACAACTCATGGGGCCCCCGGGCAATAGGGGATCATGGGGTTCCTGTGTCCTTGCCCAAACTCAAAAAAGCCTATGAAAAAGGTACCAGGGGCATCTCATGGGGCCCCCTACTGACCACGGGCCCTCGGGCAGTGCCCGAGTTTCCAAATGGTCAGTCCGCCCCTGGCTATACCTCCTATGTAACTCTAAACTGGTAATGTGTAAACATTTTTAAAGTGTTGCCTATGGAGATTTTTAAGTATACCGTAGTTTGGACGAGCAATTTTAAAGCGTGACATATTGGGTGTCTTTTTACTCTGTGTAACATCATATTTTATATTTTACCCAAGAATTGGGTTACATATTGTTTTTTTTTTTTTTTGCATTAAAATTCATTAAAGTGTATTTTTTCACAAATAAATTGCTTTTGAAAAATGCAAATACAGTGTGACATAAAAAATTGCAACAACCATCTTTTTATTCTCTAGGGTCTCTGCTAAAAAATATACCTGTAATGTTTGTGGGTTCTGAGTAATTTTCTAGCAAAACAAAAAGATTTTTACATGTAGGAGAGAAATGCCAGAATTGACCTGGGTTTGAATTTGTTAAGATCAAAGTTGGACTCCAGGTACAAAAATTTAATTTAAAAAAAATATTCCCTGATAGTCACAAAATATATAAATCCACTTTTGCAAACACAGAGCTTACCTTCTAAAAAGTAGTAGTGATATGATCACTCTTCTGTGCAGAGAGCAGAGCTGTAGGAGGGACCCAGCAGGCCCCATCCACTACAGCCAACTACAGGAGTTGGCAGAGACAAGATCAGTCACCCTGCAGAAGGAGAGAGCAGCAGTGACTGGTCTTTGCAAGAAGCTCCCGCACAAAGGTAACCTTTCACACTGGATTACAAGATTAGATGACAGTGATAAAACCTATTCCAACAATGTTTCAGGGCTACACAGGATCCCTTTATCAAGTTGAACCCTTTATCGAAAGGATTCTCATCTTTACTTTTGAGATGGTAACCTCCATACATTTTTGAGGCTTGGCCTGGAATGCTGCCTATTTTTGTTCTTTGAGCTAAGATACAGTATCACAATTAGCCGTTCACTCCTATAGAGTGGTGTTTTCGGTCTGGTGCTAGGTAGATTTGTCTACAGCAGTGGTCTCCAAACTGTGGCCCAGGGTTCAGATGCGGCCCTTTGCTTGCCTTTCTCTGGCCCTTGGGTCACTGGCATCCCACTGACACCAACAGTGGGTCACTAGTATTTCCACTGACGCTCAGGGGCGTATTTGGCATGAGGATTACAAGGAATTTGCCTTGGGTGGCATTTTTCAGGGGGGCAGCGTTGCCCCCCCCTGGAAAAAGGGACAATGGTTTTTCTGGGCACCAGGACTGGATGGTGAGTCTCTCTCCTTCTCTGGAAGAGGGGTTTGTGGTGGTGTACAGCGGTCGCAGGTGGGGGGGACTGGTGGGTGGTGGTCAGGCTGAGGCTGGTGCCTGGGGTGTAATCCCTTCTCCTCCAGTGTGATGAGGCTGCTGGTGGGTGCTGGTCTGTGCCTCGCCCTGGCCGCCCTCTCCCCTCCTGGCAGTGCAGCGATCATTGTTATGGGACGGACTCCTGGAGACACCGGGACACAGGAAGCTGGGGGGGAACAATCGGGGGACACATGTACACCATGTAGCAGCACTTCCCCCTCTGGGGGGAAAAATCATGGACCACCTGGGGAGGAAGGCCGCTGTCCAGAGGAGTCTCAAGGGTGGGGGAAGTGTCACACTGGAAATACCAGCACCAGAAGATCCCCTCCACCCACCCGTACATGGACATGGACAGCCACTGCACCCTCTGCGTCACCAGGAAAGTGGGGGGGCAGATTTTTTTTTGGTGTTGCCTAGGGCAGCACAAAATATAAATACTCATTTTTGACGTCCACAGTGGAACACTATTCCTCCCATTCCCACTATATCTTTCGCTGACACCAATAATTCTTGCCACTTACACTAATGACGGAGCATTATTTCTCCCACTGATACCAACAATGCGGTATTATTCCTCCCATTTCCACTATTTCTTTCACTGACAACAATTATGGGGGCTTTATTCCTCCCAGTGATACCAACAATGGGGCACTTATTCATCCCACTGATGCCAATGATGAGCCAATATTCCTCCCACTGACACCAACGATGGGGTACAATTACTACCAATATTGGGGCACTATTCCTTCCAATGAAGCAAACAATGGGGCACTATTCTTTCCCCTAGTACCAAAGATGGGCAGTATTCCTATAACTGACACCAGGACATTTTCTACTTCCAATGGCCCCCAAAAGTCTGGTAGACAGTCAACTGACCCTTTGGTTATAAAGTTTGGAGACCAGTGGTCTACAGGACTACAAAGCTGAAATCTTACTTCTTCTCTGCTTCATTCCCAAACTAGGAGAAACATTTGGTTGGAGTAAGGCTTTAAGAAACATGCAAGGGCCCGTTACACTTTTGTTGAGGGCACACTGCCAGTCTAGAAGTGGATGACTTACCTTTGCTCCCATCGATTTCCTCTACTTATCTCTGCTGGTACTGACGTCTTTCACATCTGCAATGACCTGGTGTGTTTTGATTCCTCCGAGAAAGTCTTAAGGCCTAATCAATATAATGGCTATATAGTCTGCTGATAAAAAAAAAATGCATTATCTTAAAATTATAGTAAACACATACTGGGGGTGATTTACTAAAACGGCTGAGTGCAAATCTGGAGCAGATATGCATGGTAGCCAATCAGCTTCTAACCTCAGCTTGTTCAATTAGGCTTTGGCAATAAAACCTGGAAGCTGATTGGATTCTATGCAGAAGTGAGCCTACTTTTGCACTTTCCAGCTTTAGTAAATAAACTCCATAGTCATGTGGGCTGCACCAACAGGAAAAAGGAGGAAATGAACAGCTTAGAAGGGAACTTATGCTGGAGCATGCTCAGTAGATGTGGCAATGTCTGGTCTACACTATCTCAGGCTGCAGTGGTGACACAGACAAGGAGAATACAGCAGGGGAATACAATGCAGAATACAGCAAACAAATCCCATAGTGAGTGAGTAGGAACTGCATGTAATACAGCATGTACTGACAGTTTTTAATGATATGGGTTTAATGACACTTTAAAAGAGTTTAACCACTTCTATACTGGATGCTTTCACCCCTTTCTTGCCCAGGCCAATTTTCAGCTTTTAGCACTGTCACATTTTGAATAACCATTGTGCGATCATGCAACACTGTACCCATATGACATTTTTACATTTTTTTTTAGACAAATAGAGCTTTCTTTTGGTGGTATTTTTGGTGGCATTTAATCACCACTGGGGTTTTTTTTTTACTAAGCAAATGAGAAAGTCCAAAAATTTAAAAAAACTCTTTTTTTTGCTTCTGTTTTTTTGCAAATAAGTAAATTTTGTTCTTCACTGATGTGCGTGGCACTGATGAGGCAGCACTGATAAGCTGCACTGATGGGCACAGCTGATCACATGGTAAAGGACCGATGTGATTAGCCCTTTACCACGATCTGTGATCAGCTGTGTCCACAGGACAGAGCGGTCACAGAGCACAACGATGTGCACCCCAGAGAGTGCACACAAGGTGTGTTCTGGGAGGATGTCCATAGACAAGAGCCCCATTAAACTTTTGTTGAGGGCCCCCCACCAGTCTAGAAGTGAAATGACTTACCTTTGTTCTCACTGATTCCTCTATCAACCTCCGCTGACGTCTTTTACATTTGCAGTGGAGTGTTTTGATTCCTTCACGAAAGTCAAATTACCATAAAGGCTAATCAATATAATGGCTATATAATCTGCTGATAACGAAACAGATTATCTTAACTGCTGTCACTAACTATAAATAATTATAAATTTATTGTTTCAGGACTGTTACATAGTAAATATTTGAATTTGCAGTTATTGCTGATGAATATGATTTTCTGATAGCTGAGTGGAGCAGGCCATGGAAGAGGGTGGAAATTGGCAAATAATTTTTTTTAAAGACGACCCAATGCCTTTTTTTTTTAAAAGACAACCCAATGCAATAGAATCTGTTTGTTTCTTTTCAACCAATATTCAGAAGGTTATTTTAGTTTAGTTGTGTTATTAATTAAAAATAGTGGTATGTACTTTTACATGCAACTAGTATTAGTACCTGAATCTGCCTTTATATTAGCTTCCTGTCATCTTTTGCACAGCAGCACTCAGATGGGAGTAAAGAGGGACAAACTAGGAGCCAGTCAGGATTTTGCAGCATATACATGAGCTGACAGGGTAAATGCTGATAGAAGAAAGCACAGTGAGGAGAGCTGATAATATATTAGTGTTTTGTCACTCTTCTAGTGTCTAATTAGAAAGCTGTGGGTGGAGAGGTGACCCTTAACTCAATAAAGAAAGTGAAGTCGCCCTCCTGGGCCCATATACTCCAGAAATCCCACAGAGCCTGCAGAGATGTAGTGCAAAAAACATAAAAGAAATGAAAATAGAGAACTCAAATGACAGGCCTAGATTTTCTCTGGCAAAAAAAAACAGTGCACTTCCTGGTATGTGAGTGTGCCTAGGCACTCCTGTACATTACAGCCCTATAGCTGTATATGTGCAGTGTGGGATCTAACGCATTGCCACCTCTGGCTGCTTGCCTGAGGAGAGCTGAAGTGAGATTTGGTGATGTCACTACTGTGCTGCTCACTGTTCTCTTTGCTGGAGGATCTGACCACAGGAAGTAAAACCCTGCCTCTACCAAGCTCTCCACATCGACACAGACGCGGCACAGAACAAGGCTTAATAGGTCAGTAATGGGGAAACAATCAGCTGCAGGAGACCTCGGGCAATACTAGCGACTAACTCTTTGCCCAATGCCTGCTTTTTGGGGCACAGTTTCCAAAGCCTCTTTAGATGAAATAAAAAATACAGTAATCTATAGATAAGATATTTTTATTCTTGTTACCACACTACAATGCAGAACAATGACGTGGTACTCTCTTTAAAAAACAGGGAGACAGTGGAGGTCCTCTGGTCTGCCAGGAAGGAGGCCTGTGGTGGCAAGTTGGCATCGTCAGCTGGGGAGAAGGATGTGGTCGACCCAACCGCCCCGGAGTTTACACTAATCTCACTGTATTACTGGACTGGGTCTACCACCGCCTACAGGTGAGTGATCAGAAGAGTTCAGGAGGGGAGCTCTGTTACTCTAAAATACAGTTTCTAATGCTCAGGGTCAACTTCTTATTAGCAGTAACTTTCAGTATTTGCTCATCATTTTTAAAGTATTTAATTTTCCTCCCTTTTGAGTTGGGCCTTTTGTTCCTCCTTCATATTCGGCTGGTTGACACGTGTAATTCATTAATGGAGCCCCTATGCCTACAGAACAAAAAGGGCTTTTGTATTCACCCAAGCTCAACTGGAACTGCTAGTAACACACTGTGTACTTTACAACAACCTCAGAAAAAGAAACTGTACATATATATCTATAACTACCAAGAGGACGTCTCAGTCATTGTGCAGTAAATTTTTAGAACTAAAAGTCACAGTTAAAAGCAAGTACCATACCTGAAAAATATCTAAACCCAAAAACAAAAATGTAATACATTCTAGTCCTCAGGGATAGTGGTTGCATTGGAAAAAGAACAATGTGAACAGATTTTTCACAGAAGAAAAGCGGTTACATAAAAGACAAGACAATACACAAAAATGTAATCATATAATGCTTTTAATAGTAAAATTGAAACAATTTAATAAAGACTGCATGATAGCCATCACCTCAAGCAATGACAATACAATACAACCTAAAAATAAAAAAGAGAGACATCATGGCTAGGCCAAATTGCAAATTATGCCGAATAGGCAACGACTAAATAGTCTTCTGCCAAGACAGCAAACACATCGGGGTGCACCACCCGGATAAATATATGTATAATAACCAGATAAACAGTTTCAGTGCTAAAGGACCAAGTAGAGATATTCTACTGGAATGGATATAGTCCAACTCTATCACAGGATGTAAATAATCACAAACCCAGATGTGGAAAAGGTCACTTGGTGGCAAAGTTCCTGGTAATAGATGCAGGCAAGAAGAGTCAGTATACACAAATGTGTGTCTAAATGACGACATAAAAAGGGCACTAGAATCAACCAGAATGTAACATGGCCTCCTCAGCTGGTCTCTGAAATGGATATGTGTGGATTCATAGGATTGATGAAAAGATATAGCATTAAAATATCCATGCTGTAGAGGTCTGTCCGTCCCTCCATGGATATGCCTCCCCAAACCATCACTGATCCACCACCAAAATGGTCATGGTGAACGATGTTACAGGTAGCATAATGTTCTCCACGGCTTCTCCAGACTCTTTCATGTTTGTCAGATGTGCTCAGGGTGAACCTGCTCTCATCTGTGAAATGGCAAATGCCAATCGAGCTCTATGGTGCCAGGCAGTGATCACAGGGCCCACTAGAGAATGTTGGGCCCTCAAGCCACCTTCATGAAGTCTGTTTCTGATTGGTCAGAGACATTCTAACCAGTGGTCTGCTGGAGGTCATTTTGTACTGCTCATCCTGTTCCTCCTTGCACAAAGGAGCAGATACCGGTCCTGCTGATGGGTTAAGAACCTTGTACGGCCCTGTCCAGCTCTCCTAGAGTAACTGCCTGTCTCCTGAAATCTCCTCCATGCTCTTGAGACTGTGCTGGGAGACACAGCAAACCTTCTGGCAATGGCACATATTGATGTGCCATCCTGGAGGAGTTGGACTGCCTGTGCAACCTCTGTAGGGTCCAGGTACAGCCTCATGCTACCAGTAGTGACCCTGACCCTAGCCAAATGCAAAAAACTAGTGAAAAACAGTCAGAAAAGATAAGTAGGGAAAACATGTCAATGGCTTCCATCTGTAAAACCATTCCTGTTTTCGGGGTCATCTCATGTCATTAATTAATTTCATTAACACCAAAGCAGTTCAAACTGATTAAGAACCCCCTCTGCTACTTAACTGACCAGATCGATATCCCAAATGTTTAATTGACTAAATGCTATACTCTGATTAAAAAGTGTTTCCTTAATTTTTTTTGAGAAGTATGTGTGTGTGTGTGTGTATGTATATGTGTATATATATATGTATATATATATATGTGTGTATATACAGTGGGGATCAAAAGTTTGGGCACCCCAGCTAAAAATTTGTATTAATGTGCATAAAGAAGCCAAGGAAAGATGGAAAAATCTCCAAAAGGCATCAAATTACAGATTAGACATTCTTATAATATGTCAACAAAAGTTAGATTTTATTTCCATCATTTACACTTTCAAAATAACAGAAAACAAAAAAATGGCGTCTGCAAAAGTTTGGGCACCCTGCACAGTTAATATCTTGTACAGCCCCTTTGGCAAGTATCACAGCTTGTAAACGCTTTTTGTAGCCAGCCAAGAGTCTTTCAATTCTTCTTTGAGGTATCTTTGCCCATTCTTCCTTACAAAAGTCTTCCAGTTCTTTGAGATTTCTGGGCTGTCTGTCACGCACTGCTCTTTTACTATCCATAGATTTTCAATGATGTTGAGGTCAGGAGATTGTGAAGGCCATGGCAAAACCTTCAGTTTACGCCTCTTGATGTAATCCACTGTGGATTTCGAGGTGTGTTTTAGGATCATTATCCATTTGTAGAAGCCATCCTCTCTTTAACTTCAGCTTTTTCACAGATGGCATCAAGTTGCCATCCAAAATTTGCTGAAATGTTATTGAATCCATTTTTCCTTCTACTCGTGAGATGTTCCCTGTGCCACTGGCTGCAACACAACCCCAAAGCATGATTGATCCAACCCCATGCTTAACAGTTGGACAGAGGTTCTTTTCATTAAATTCTGTGCCCCTTCTTCTCCAAAAGTACCTTTGCTCATTCCGGCCAAAAAGTTCAATTTTAACCTCATCGGTCCACAGAACTTGTTTCCAAAATGCATCAGGCTTGTCTATATGTTCATTTGCAAAGTTCAAATGATGATTTTTGTGGTGAGGACGTAGAAGAGGTTTTCTTCTGATGACTCTTCCATGAAGACCATATTTGTACAAGTATCTCTTTATAGTGGAATAGTGTACCACAACTCCAGTGTCTGCCAGATCTTTCTGGAGGGATCGTGCAGTCAAACGTGGGTTTTTGAATTGTTTTTCTCACAATCCTGCGAGCTGTTCTGTCTGATATTTTTCTTGGTCTTCCAGATGTTGCTTTAACTTCCACTGTTCCTGATGACTGCCATTTCTTAATTACATTCCGAACAGAGGATATTGACATCTGAAAACGCTTTGCTATCTTCTTATAGCCTTCTCCAGCTTTGTGAGCGTCAACTATTTTCAGTTTCAGTTTTCTAGACAACTGCTTAGAAGAACCCATGGTGCTGATTGTTGGGGCAAGGTCAGATGAGTCTGGGCATTTAAAACCTTTGAGATTGACATCACCTGGTCTTCCCAGACGATGATTGAGAACAATCCATGACACTGGCAGGTCTCAGCTTGGCAAAGGGGGCAGTGCATGCTATAAATTCTGCAGGGTGCCCAAACTTTTGCAGACGCCATTTTTTTGTTTTCTGTTATTTTGAAAGTGTAAATGATGGAAATAAAATCTAACTTTTGTTGACATATTATAAGAATGTCTAATCTGTAATTTGATGCCTTTTGGAGATTTTTCCATCTTTCCTTGGCTTCTTTATGCACATTAATACAAATTTTTAGCTGGGGTGCCCAAACTTTCAATCCCCACTGTATATATATATGTATATGTGTGTGTGTGTGTGTGTGTGTGTGTGTGTGTGTGTGTGTGTGTGTGTGTGTGTGTGTGTGTATATATATATATATATACACGAAGGGCGTTCAAGTCAAACCGGAACTTTTGAGCTTATATAATAAAAGAACAAATTTCAAAGAGTGGAAACTGCATTTATTTTTCAACATGCTCCCCTGCACTTATCTCAGCATTTAACTAATGCCTGGAAAGCTTAGGCAAACAAAGATTTGTCAGTACTTCTAAACCATCCTAGGACAGCTTGCTTCACTTCGTCATCATTGTGTTCACCGTTCCCACAGAAAGTTCCATCTCTTATGCAATTTCATGACAGGTTATGCATCAATTATCCAGGATTCGGTGTTCCACGCACTAAATGTTTAGGGGAATGACTGCTGTGGGCTTGGAACCACCATGGCTGGGATCATCACCGATGGATGTGTGACCATCTTTGAACCTTTACACCATCCAAATGTCTTACTGCGGCTGTGCGTCTCATCACCTTACTATGCTTGAAGTCTTTTGTAGATATCTGTGGGTTTTACGCCTTCACTCACAAGAAACTTCATCACCACACGCTGTTCTTTGCACGCATTAACACTGTTGTCTGCCAACTTGATCAACGGTATCTGGACTGACCTGCGACATGTGCGCCGCCTATTAGTAATAGGACACACTTGCCACTTATTACTGTGTGTAGTATCACCACGCTAGCATCCCTTTTTATACCTGTAAAATTAATAGTCCCGGTTTGACTTGAATGCCCCTCGTATATACTGAGTATATACTATATATATATAAATATATATATATATAACCCATAACTGCTAACACTCTCACCCTTTCTTCTCTGCAGACCGACAATGAGATTCCATGACAAGATGAGAGCTCATCAGGGGGAATAAATACTGTATATATTTATGCTTTTATCTCTGTCTGCTTGCTCTTTTTTGCATTACATATTTTACAGATGTAGGCAATTGCTCGCCACTATGTAGAATACACACAGGTTCCTGCCCACAGAAGCTTACAATCTCCAATGTCCCCAACATATACATGTACTAAAGTAGAACTATTTACCCGTAGACCAGGTTATTTATCTCCAGTGGTGAGTTTTTGAGAGACATAAGGTGGTCTATGCTTCCTTCTATAGAACCATAGAAGTGTTCAGTTTGGGTGGAGTAGGCTTATAAATTTGTTTTGAAGAAGTATCGGCGGTTATACTTGATTTTGTGAAAGATGATTATGTGAGCTAAACTAAGCTTCAATTGTTGATGTGGTGTTCTTAAAATATTGTTTGCTTGGATGTCATGCTGATTCATTGTTTTTAATGCTTCCTGAGTTATTAACTAGAATGAGTATGCAGATCTGGAGTTCTGACTTCACCCTGACTTTGCTTGCTGCATGCTTGTTTCAGGCCTGTAACTTAACAAGCATTGACACCAGAAACAGCAAGACAGCTAACGCTTTCAGATGGAGGTCAGCAATGATACATATGTACATACATACACTATATGGCTAAATGCTTGTGGACACCTCTCCAAATTATGATGTAGAGCAGCTTTCAGTGAATGCTACTGGTAAAGCTACAGCATACAAAAACACTTTTGACAGTTGTGCACTTCCAACCTTGTAGTAACAGTCTGGGGAAGGTTGTTTTCTGTTGCACCATGACTGTACCACTGTGTACAAAGCCAGCTCCATAAAACCATGGTTTTAGGTGGAGGAACTCAAGTGGCCTCCACAG